AGATAAAAATAAATGCTTCCACTATAGAAATAACCCAGTCAGAGAAAAACAAATACCATATGATTTCACTTATATGTGGAATCTAATGAACAAAATAAACTAACAAACAAAACAGAAACAGACTCATAGATACAGAGAACAGACTGACAACTGTCAAAGGGGAGGGGAATTGGGGGACTGGGTGAAAAGGTGAAGAGGATTAAGCAAAAAAGAAAAGAAAAGCAACCAAACAAACAAAAAACGAATAGTCAGAGACAACAGTATGGTAATTACCAGAGGGAAAGCAGAGTAGGGGGAGATAGTAGAAGGTATAGGGGGTATAAATGGTGACGGAAGGAGACTTGACTTTGGGTGGTGACACACAATACAATATACAAATGATGTATTATAGAATTGTACACTTAAAACCTATATTATTTTATTAACCAATGTCACTCCAATAAATTCAAAATGAAAATTTAAAAAAATAAAATCAGAATATTTCAAATGTTAAAATAAATATATAAATACATGCTTAAACTAGAGGTAAAATAAGAAGAGGTTACATGACACTCGAGTCTCAATTTTCTCACCTGTTAAAGAGGCTGATAACACCCATCACATTGGATTGTTAAAAAGATTATGTGAGATAAATGTTTGGAAAAATATCTACCACACCGCTTAGTATTCAACAAATATTTATTGGCACCTATTATGTGCCAAGCACTAAAGATTCAATGTGGCATACTGTTTTTTTCCCCAAAAAAATGGCTGTAACAATGTCGCCCATATGACAAGCCTTTCTATGTCTACCCAAAAAGAAGTGGACTCCATCCTCTCCCCTTGAATCTGGGAGGGCTAGTGATTCATTTTAACCAAAACAATAAAACAGACATGATACTGCTTGGCTTTTGATACAATCAGCCTGTACCTTTGGAGCACTAGCCTTTGAAGTCCTGAGCTGCTGTGTAAGAAGTCCAACTACCCAGAGACACCATGCTCTGATGGAAGCCCAGGCCATACAGATAGACCACATGCAATATATGATCAACAGTCCCAGCCAAAGTCCCAGTCAATGGCCAGCATCAACTGCCAGACGTGCACAAAGAAGCCTGCAGATGACAGGGCTCCAGCCATTGAGGTGTCTCAGCTAAGACACCAGACATCATGGAGCAGAGATAAGTTATTCTCACTGTGCACCACCTAATTTGAAAGCTATAGTGTAATCTTACTGTGAAGACTGAGGTATTTTTAACATGTTAATAAGCACTTGATATGCAGAAGCCTTAAATATAGTGAAAATTATTGGTATAAGAACTAAACTCTTAGAATAAAACACAGAAGTGAATCTTCTTGACCTTGGTTAGGTAAAGCCTTCTTAGACATAAAAAAACACAAGCAACTGAAAGAAAAAAAAAAAATATATATATATATATAGTACCTCAACAATAAAAACTTTATTGTTTCAAAGGACATCATCAACAAAGTACAAAGATAACCCACAGAATGGGAAATTTTTTTTGCAAATCATATATCTGATCAGGGTCTAGCATCCAGAATATATAAAAAACTTTTACAACTCAACAATAAAAAAGACAAATAACCCAACGAAAACCTGGGCAAAGGATCAGAATAAATATTTCTCCAAAGAAGATATACAAATGGCTAATAAGAACATGAAAAGATGATCAACACCATTAGTCATCAGGGAATTGCAAATCAAAACCATAATGATACCACTTTGTACCCATTAGGATGGCTTAAAAAAAGAAAGACAAGAGTTGAAAAGAATATGAAGAAATTGGAACCCTCAAATATTGCTGGTAGGATTGTAAAATAGCATAGCCACTTTGAAAACAGTTTATCAGTTCCTCAAAATGTTAAATATAGATTTGTCACCTGACCTAGGAATTCCAATCCTAAGTATATACCCAGGAGAACTGAGAATACATGTCTGTGTAAAAACTTGTACTTAAATGTTCACAGTAGCATTATTTGTAACACCCAAAGTGGAAACAACCTAAATGTTCACCAGTTGATGAATGGATAAACAAAATATGGTTCATCCATATGTTCTGGGTTGAACTGTATCCCCGCAAAAGATATGTTGACCTCCTAACCACCAGTACCTCAGAATGTAACCTTACTTGGAAATGGGATCTCTGCACATATAATTGGTTAAGATAAGGTCATAGTGGAGGAGGGTGGACTCCTAATCCAGTATAATTGGTATCCTTATAAAATGGCCATGTGGCCCTGGCCGGTTTGGCTTAGCAGTTAGAGTCTCAGCTCGGCTACAGGTTCAATTCCGGTCAAGGGCACATACCTTGGTTGCAGTTCAATCCCTGGCCCTGGTCAGGGTCATGCAGGAGGCAACCAATCAATGTGTCCTTCTCACATTGATGTTTCTCTTTCTCTCTCTCTCTCCCTTCCTCCCTCCCACTCTATCTATAAAAAAAAAAAAAAAAAAAAAAAATCAATAGAAAAATATTCTCAGGTGAAGATGAAAAAAAAAAAAACAACTTTTAAAAAAAATGCCCACACAGACAACAAATGCCACGTGACAACAAAGGCAGAGACAGAGGTCATGCAGCCAAGGAATGCTAAATATTGCTGGCAAACCACCAAAAGCTAGGAAGAGGCAAGGAAAGATTCTTCTCTACAGGTTTTAGAGGGGTCATGGCCCTGCTGATACCTTAATTTCGAACTTCTAGCCTCCAGAACTGTGAGACAATATACTTCTGTGATTTTAAATCACCAAGCTTGTAGTACTTTGCTATGGCAGCCCTAAGAAACTAACACCATGTAATGGAATAATTCAGCCATAGAAAGGAATGAAGTACAGCAGGTCCAGAAATAAGATTATTTCATTATAATATTGATGAGATACTATAGGAACTTAACTCTTATTTATTTTAGCGATTAGCCTATAGTTATGGTTTCATTAGAAGCCAGTTCAGATGATGTTAAGTGAGAATTTACTATCCTGATCCATGCTACAACACCGTCAAACCTTGAAAACATTATGCTAAGTGAAAGAAACCAGGCATACAAGTTTACATATTACATGATTCTACTTACATGAAATGTTCAGAATAAGCAAATCTCCAGACAGAGAATATATTAGTGGTTGCCTAGGGCTGGGGGAAGAGGAGGCAGGATTGCGGGAAAATGGTGAATGACTACCAAATAGATACAGGGTTCCATCTGGGATTGATGAAAATGTTCTAAAATTAGTTGTAGCTATAGCTGCACAACTCTTTGAATACACTAAAAACCACTAAATTATACATTTTCAGTGGGTGAATTGTATGGTATGTGAATTCTATCTCAATAAAGTTTGTGTTTTTTCAATATGAAAGAAATACATATGACAGAGTTAGAGAGAGGTGAGGCTAGCTGAAATAGAGCATTGGGGGAGGGCTATTCCAAGAAGTAACATGTGAAATTTGAGCTGAAACCTGAAGGATGTTAACAAGTAGGAGAGCATTCCAGACAGAGGGAATGGTTCAAATGTCCTAGGGTGAGAATGGGCTTAGCATATTTGAGGAACAGAAAGGCAAACATGGCTAGAGTATAAGAGAAGTAGAGAGTGGTATGGGATGAAGTTGGTAGACAGGGAGGAGCAAGACACTATGTTAATTCTATAACACTTATCGGTAATAGGGTAGCTATAAGAAAATCACAGGCAACTTTATTTCATCTCCAACATATACCTTTAAACCCCAACAAACTTATATAGTAATAGCTACCTCATTACATATTTAAACATCCCTAACCACAACAAATAATGACTCTTTACAGGTGTCCATTCCCAAAGTTACCTGAACCTCTTGGTTTGGGACAGGACTGGTCTTAGCAACAGCAATCTTAGATAGTCAAAATCAGTCAAAATCCATCCCTGGGCCAAGAGTTTTAGGTCTTGAAGACATAAACACACAGTCAAAATCAGACTCCTAAAACTGTCAAACAGTAACTCAAAGCCAAATCAACCCATTGTAGAGATCAGGGAAATTCTAAGACTCATGGAACATGCCTACCAATTCAAGAAAGTTCCATGACTCAAAATAGGAAAAAAATCAGAACAACTTTAGGGATAAAATAAACTAAATGAGTATTTAACTCAGTGTATGTGTCCTCAGCCCATTCACACATTCTTCCACTTGGGACATAGACACATGCACATTTACAGGTCAAGAAATTCAGAAGTTAATTCAAAAGCCTGTTTTTTGCCCTGGCCGGTTTGGCTCAGCAGTTAGAGCGTCGGCCTGAGGACCAGAGAGTCCCGGGTTCAGATCCCACTAAGGGCATGTACCTCAGTTACAATTTGTCCCTGGCCCCAGTTGGAGTCATGTGGGTGGCAGCCAGTCGATGTGTCTCTCTCACATTGATGTTTCTCTCTCTCTTTCTCCTTCCCTCCCTCTGCTCTATCTGAAGATAAATGTAAAAATGTCCTCGAGTGAGAATAAAACTAAAAAGCTTGTTTTTTTTCCTTTTCAGCAAGGAAAGACGATATGGCAAAATTCAAGAAGGGCAATGCTCTGCACCACCCTAAGCATTTCTGCTTTAGTTTCACTTAAGAGGTTCTCTTCTGAGTTATATTGTTACACAGCTTGTGTCAAACACCTGTTGACCTCATTATGGGGTATCTCAATAACTCCCAGAGATGGGCCTAGGGAGCATGTGTGAAATTATAATGAAGATGTAAGATAATAGACATGTAACTCTGAAATGTAAACAGAATTGGCTAGCCCATTTAATCCATCTGAAATAAAAAGTGATGTTAACCAGAGAGCAATACCAGAAATAAATCCAGTAAATGTATTACTACACATTTGTATATAAGTCTACCTATCTACCAAGTCATAGACAAAAGTAGTAAAAATAGTATTCTTTTCCCATTTCCCAGAAAAAAAAAAAAACAAGTTCTGACCTAGAGGCTATCCAGAAGGCTATCAACAAAGCAAAACAACAAACAAAAAACTCCAACATAATTAAAATTAGTAGTAAATAGGACTTACTGTTTGGCCTGGTTAACATGAACTCCTAGTGTATAGCTCAGCCATTTGTATGTCACCTGAAATAAAAAGGAATTTTTAAAACATTTTATTAGAACTCTAAGAGCTCCTAAAGATTCCTAGTCTCAGATGATTATGCCTTATATATTGTAACAGATGCCACCCCCGTTTTGCTAAGAACCATTCATCTGATCAGGCCGGACTGAGATATTTATCTTACAAATAGTAAGAATTTTGTTTCACAAACCAATTAATGCAAAGGATCAAAAAGGAAGGCTGAATATACATTTTTAAAAAGCTTTCATTTTCTTCACAATGCTTGTTTTACAAACGGCCCTTTTTTCACATTCGTCCTTTTTGAGGGCCACCACCAAAAACTATACTAAAACTCACCCAGAAGCTAAATTACTTTGAAGCGTACAACTCATTAAAACTTCTAAGGAAAGTTGTGGCCATACAAACATCAAAGGGCACAGGTGGTGCAGGTGTCAGGGAATGAATGAGGTGGATGAATACTGTATCACAGGTTAGATTGGGAACTCCTGGATCAAGACTACATCTTCCATCCTTCCCTGAACTCTATCACTCTTCTCTCAAAGTCCTCCAATTCTAAATGCTGACTTTCCAATAATCAGAAGTGTTACAGAGGTTAGGCAAAGACAGTGTGATTTATAAGAAAACATTAGCAAAAGAGACTGACCTAGATTGGAAAACTACCTGTCCCTTACCACAAATAAGTTACTTGGCACCTTTGTATGCTTCAACTGCCTTTTCTACCCACCTTTGGATGGATCACTGAAAGGAGCAAATGCAATAATGTGCATCCAAACGTCACTGTTGGCAATCATCATGATTTGCAAATTGCATTCACATCCATTGCCTCACCTGATGTTTACTCCATCCCTGTGAGGCAGGTCAAGCGTGTATCAATACCAAATTTCCAGTAAGAGGAAACCGAGACGGTCGGAAGGTTAATCACCTTGTCACTTAAACCCGGTTACAATTTCCTCAACTGTAAATTTGGAGCTTTAAACGCCAAGCACCTTATCAGACAGGTGTAGAGACGCCTTAGAAATATTAACAACCAATGGCCCTCCTTCCGTGGCCCCTAGTCGGTGCGCAGTGCCCAGCGCGCCCACCCAAGGACTAGGGCTTGCGGGCGCGCCAGAACCCCTCTCCCGCGAGCTCTCGCTCGCCTTGAAGCACAAAGCGTGGGGACCTATCTCCCTTATCTGGTCCCCCACCAGACCACATGCAGAGGGGTCAAGGACCCCGCCGCCGTCCTCGCCGGGCCCAGCACCCCAATCGCAAGCCCGCGTTCCCCAGTCCTAGCTCCTCACGATCTTGTTCTGGTCCATGACGAACTCGTCTATATTTTCCAGATAAAGCTGGTCCGCCATGGTGCTACAGCGTCGGGCCCCGCAGCCTCCGAGCTCCCCACGCCGCCACAACCGCAGCTCCCGCCGGCGGGAAACGTCTTTCCCCCACCCAGGTCCCGGGTCGTTTCCCACAGCAACGGAAGCGACGCGCTACGGCGGCCGTCGGAGGGTCAAACTAGTCTCAGAGATGGCGCAGGCCGAAATAGGCGGAGCTAGTGGGAGCGGGCGGAAGAGAGGAACCAGGAGAGCGGGCGTGGTCTGGAGGGCTGTGCGTGGGGCCCTGGCTTCAAGTCTCACCTTGGCCGCTTTGTAACTGACCCAGGGCGAAATACCTGACCTCTGGGATCCACAGTCTTTTCACCTAAAATTTATAAAATAATCCTTGACCTTCATATCTTTATTAAACAAATACTCATCAAGTACTGTACCTGTTCTATTTCAGGCACTTCTTAGTCACTGGGGACTAAGAAGAAAGAAATAAACAAGTAATTTTAGTAGAGTGATGCCAGCTGGGATAAAGTACTGCTTGTTATAATCCCTCAGAATTGAGAAATTAGGGAAGGTTTTGCAGAACAGTTGGAAGAGGGGCAGTGGGTGGGTAGAGGCAGGAGCAATTGCAGGGAAGAGAAAAGAGTTCATTATGGCTGAAATGTTGAGAGGAGGCCAATGAGGAGAGATGAGACTTGGGAGAAGCCTACAAGGCTGTGTGAAGGAACACATGAACTTTATTCTAAGAAAAGTTTTTAGGTTGGGGAATTTCAACTAAAATATCTCTTAACATCAGCCAAAAATCCCTTAATAATTGACATCAGCATAAGCCAGTGTAGTTCAATACAACCATATAGTGGAAAATCCAGCAGGCTCTAGAGTTAGACCATGGAATTGAAACCTGGTTTTGATATTTATTGTTGTGACCTTAAGTAAATTATTTAACCACTGCAACCTATTTTTCCCATCTATAAGATGAAAATAATAGTAGTACCTACTTTAAAGTTTTGTTGCAATATGTATTCATTCAAGACATAGCTAGCAAAAGCCTAAGAACCAAGCACTGTTCTGGGTACTGGAGTGCTGGGCATACAGCTGTGATCAATAACACAAGGAGCCTGTTCATATGTTGCTTACATTCTTGTGAAGATATTAAGTGAAGGATGATAGTGGCTTAAAATAGGATAATGGTGATACACTCCTGACCAGGGATCAAGCCCACAACCCCAGCATGTGCCCTGACCAGGAATTGAAACACCAACCTTTCGGTATACCGGAGGACACCAAACCAATTGAGCCACACTGGCCAGGTGTGTGAAAATGATTTCAATTGTACGCTTCTGATATGTATAGTGTTCTGTATGTATGTTCACACCAATAAAAAGTTTAAGAAAAGTGATCATTTAAGTAATCTTTACTACTGTAACAAACCTTCTCAAACCAGGAAAATAGAGAACAGGTACAAGTGTTAGAAAGAATGGGTTTAATCTTAACCTTGGACAAAAGAAAATAAATTCTGGGAAGAAGGAATAATGAGCAAAAATGGACCCCAGGCAAGACAGAAATGGGATTATCAAATTAAGGTAAATGATCAAAGGCATCTCCAAGTCTGGGTTGAGTAGTGGGACTAGAAAAATAATATATAGTTGTGTATCAATATATGTTTAGCAACCATTTAGCCAAAATAAAAGCCCTGATTTGTAGTGGTTGCCAACTTCTGTGGTGTAAATACTCCCATCACAGCAGATTTCAAGCTACTGATATTGATGTCACAGAATGCAGCTAGGTAGAGATGCACAACATCACACCATTATATCCGCCATACAAGTACAATAAACATGGGGATGTAAAGAACAGCATAGGGAATATAGTCAGTAATATTGTAATAACTATGTATGACACAGGTGGGTACAAGGCTTATCAGGGGATCACTTCATAAATTATATAAATGTCTAAATGAAACTAATATAATGTTGAATGTCAACTGTAATTGAAAAAAAAAATAATTTTAAAAAGTACAATAAACAAATAACCACAAGAGCATAGATGGTAGTACAATGTAGTAAAATAATTAGAAAGTGATGCGATTTGAATATTTATTGTCTTAGTTTTTAACATAAGTTATTTAATGGTAAATTTATATAACCTTATTTTTATTTATTTTATTTGTTTTTTTCTTTATTGATTTTAGAGAGAGAGGAAGGGAGAGGGAGAGAGAGATAGAAACATAGATGAGAGAGAACATTGATTGGCTGACTGACTCCTGCATGCCCCCCAATGGAGATTTGGCCCACAACCTGGGCATGTGCCCTGACTGGGAATCAAACCACGGACCTCTTGGTGCATGGGCAATGCTCAACCATTGAGCCACACTGGCCAGGCTATTATCTTATTTTTAGTAATGGCTCTGTTTAACAACTGACTTGCAAACTTTCTGAAACCGTAACGTTCAACTCTCATAAACAGGTACGGCCAGCTCTAGCACACCACTACAAATAATATCCGCTTTGCATGATTGAGGGGATTGAAAGTAACATGTTCTGTACCTGGCAGGTAACTAAGTGTGCTATAAATTATAACTATTACATAACTAACACATATCTACCACTAACTCTATGCCAGGCTCTGTTCCAAGTGCTTTACAAATATTAACCCACCTAATCTCCGTAAGAACCCTAGAAAGTAAGGCTGTTATTATCTCCTTTTTCAAGATAAGTAAACATTAGCATAGAGAGGTTAAGTAATTTGGCCAAGAACACAAAACAATTGGCAGAGCCAGAATAATAACCCAAGCAGTCTGGCTCCAGCATCCATGATCTTAAACATTGTTTTTTTGTCTCATAATTAGTTTATAACCAATAGGAAAACCAATAATAAGTACAGGAACTCTAGTACATTTTATTGTAGAACTTTGGAATCCTTGAGAATATCAGTAAAATGAGAATTGCTTTCAATGGAAGCCAAGTAACCAAGGGTATGTATTGAATATCTACAGGATGTGGGAACAAACTCCAGGTAAACAGGAATTAACCTTGGAAGTTGTCAGAGCCAGCTGTGGGGTGAGGGTGGGGGTGGGGAGACATGGGGAAGGAAAGTTAGGGAGGACAGATCTTTGATAAGGTTTGTGAAGGGAACAACAACTAGCAAATGCATAGTAAACAATCCTAGACTGTGTCCAGAATATTAGTGTTTTATCTAGATAATGCCTGAAAACTTAGTTCTAGGATAGAAAGTAAACAAGAAAAGAAGATCCCTCTGCATTTTCACTCCCATAAACCATTGGTGTGAAAGTCCTATACATTGCTGGGGTGATAATAACTACATGTATTGAGCACCTATCACATTGTGGGTACCTTCCTAAAATGATTCATTTGATACTCAAACAATCCTGTTAAATTCTATTATTCCTTCACCAATAAAGGACCCAAATTTGTATCAATTTTATGTTAATGGGAAGATTGAATAGGAAATGAGTCCATATAGGTTCAAAGACAGGATTTTCTTAAACTAATAACTAAGTAGGCTTTTAGAACTGGCCTCATTCTAACATAACAACTATCACACCAGCATCTTATAGGCTCTCAGTAAATGTTTATTGACTTAAGTTCAATTACACTGAAGGTAGTGAGACTTGAGGGGGGAAAGTACTGGATTAAGAAACAAGAAAATTTGAAATACTGTTCACTCTTACTTATTCACTGAGTATGAAAGTGGGCAAGCACCATGCTAGCCCTAAGCCTTTTACTTGAATATTCTTATTTAATCTTTAAAAAAATTCTATAAACTAAGTAAATATTATTACTGATCTTCTATTATCCCTGTTTACAGATGAGGAAACTGGAGCTCATGAAGGTTAAGTAGCTTGCCCCAAATCATAAGGGTAGTAAGTGGTGGTGGGCCATGTGTTTATGCCCAGGTGTGCCCAAAGCTCATGCTCAAATACCATCATTGGCTTTAGGGGAAAGCATTTGGCTGATTTTTATTCTCTTTTTCTTTTGGATGTTTGAACTTTTATAAGAGTCCATGTCATTTTTATCATAAAAAAAAATAAGCGTTTTTATTTTGAAAAATATTGGGGCATAAAAAATAATAAATAAGTAAATTTTAAAAAGAAAAAATATTGGGGCCTTTAGCAATGTAAAATTAATTCATCTACCTATTCCAAGTGTCTGTGATGTTTTTCCTATTTGAAATGTAAAGGATAAATCTCCAAAAGGCAAAAGTATCACCATTCCTACCTATACTTTAAATGCTGCTGCTTAAAAAAAAAAAAGACAACTCACTCCTTGTTTCTGAAGGATGAGGCCTAACATCAATGTTAAGAATAAGAGCAGTTCTTCAGAAACCAGAACAACTAATCAACCAAAGCATTTGCTCAGCAAAGGAGGCCAGACAAAACTGTTGAGGATGGTGGTGTCAGCTGATACCTGCAACGAGAGCCATCGAATCAAGATTCTTTAGCCTCCATGTCTCAAAAGAGTAGCTAGGGCTGATGTTAGAAATAGAAGGCTGACTCTCCTCTTTCCTCCTTTTCACCCCTACTTCATCCCAGAAATGACTGACATCAGAGAGTCGAAGGATTCTGACAGGACATGGGGTGGGAAATCTAGATGGGACTCAATATTGGGGAGAGGGTGAGGTCAACCCATATAGGCAGGATTTCCAGACTTAGAGTAGGGGAAGGGAGCCAGACCTCTGACCAGGAGAGGAGGCCTGCAGGAGCAGCTCAGGAACTCCACAGGTCTCTGGGAGATAACATTCCGGGCAGGGGAACAGGTCAGAACCAAGGAGTACAAGATTAAGAATTATGACTTGGGAGCCACATAACTGTCCAAGGGTCATCCCAGAGTCTCAGGGGCTCCAGACTTATTAACACCAGGTATTTAGCACCAGATCATTCATACATTCATTCATCAAACGTTACTCAAGGCCTCCTGTCTACCAGTCCCTATGTAACCGACTGTTGAAAATACAGCACGATCTTCAGCCCTGGGAATTTAGTCTGTGGGGAGTAAACAGCAACACAGTGTGGGAGGAGCACAGGGTACATGGGAACCCGGCAGAGGTAACTAACCCAGTCTGAGGAGCAGAGGAAATGTGGGGAAAGA